ATTTCATGTACGTTTCCTAGGCCTCAATTGACTATGCCCATTCATTAATACAGTCATTCACCTTCTCCCCAGCGGACGGAACTATGTCCATTCATTAATATGTTCATTCACCGTCCCGCAGCGGAGGGAACTGTATCCATTCATTTCCTGGCCTGAACCCACGCACCTATATATATATACCGCTAAACGGAGAGAGACTAAGAGAGAATAATGGAGAGAGCTTTTCTCTCCTGACTCGGGTTTTTTCTCCCTACTAGAAACTTTAGTGTTTTTGTTTTCTTTTTCTGTAAATAAATTCGGTCTTGCCACGGATCTGTGGTCCGCGGATTTATTCTTCAAATCACCGAGACCAAGAACCTGAAAGTCTGGTAACAATATGATCCCATTTGTCCAATTTTGCTTCAGTTGCCTGTGCTTTGGCGAGTAGTAGTCAAGAAGTATTTGCCCAGGCACAGCACCTATGGCTCAGTGGTTAGGGCACTGGCCACATACGCGGGGATGGCAGGTTCCAACCTGGCCTGGGCCTGCTAAACAGTGACAAATGCAACAAAAACATAGCCAGGCATTGTGGCAGGCGCCTGTAGTCCCAGGCACTTGGGAAGCTGAGGCAAGAGAATCCCGTAAGCCCAAGAGTGTGAGGTTACTGTGAGCTGTGATATCACAGCACTCTAGGGAGGGTGACATAATGAGACTATCTTAACAAAAAAAAAAAGGTACTTGCCCAGACCACAAGTGGCCAAATAAACCCATGGACTAGAGCAGAAAAAGATGGTATTTACATGATCACTTTCTATGAAGAACTACAAAATTTTGAAAAATGTCAATAAATGTAGCTTCTTAGAAGAGCTTTTTATATTACACTAGGCATCTGGCAGCTGTCTTCAAGGCTCTTGAACTACGATTGCAAGACAGAATACAATGTTAAGTCAGGGCAGAAGGGAAGGAGATTTGAGGTTGAGGGGACAGTCATTTCTGGAGATTAATCAAGACAGAATTCAACATATCTGATGCAAAGTAAATTTGGGGGTCCTCTGTGTTTTAACAAAAGAAAATTATCTTTACTTTTTATATTTGCCTTAATTTTCTCTTATTATTTCTGGCCTACCCCTATTAACTATGCTAAATAGTTTTCATTTTTGAATTTAAACTTTTTGAAGACAAAAATGTAAAGAACCGAGAAGACACATCGAAAATATAAACTCTTCTTTCATGAAGAAGAAATGAGAAGCAAAGCCAAGTGTGAAATTCTGAAGCCTAAAATTAAAATGTAAACAAAGAATGCTCAGTGACCTTTTCTTAGGTGGCTTAATATGAAGGAACGTCATGGCACATTGATCAAACTTTTAGTCATCTGTATTTTCAGGATGTTGCTATTAATACCAGATGACACTCAACAAATCATACTACAATGTGACATTATGTACAAATCACTTTACCTTTAGTTTCTTCTTCAGCTATGTTACTTCAGCCTCTGGTTATTTAACAGAAAATGGTTTCATTATTCTTGAACATCTATTAACATGATTGCTTAATAATTACAAGTGCTAACCACCAAACTTTTTTTTTTTTTGAGACAGAGTCTCACTTTATCACCCTTGGTAGAGTGCTGTTGTGCCACAGCTCACAGCAACCTCAAATTCTTGGGCCCAAGCCATCCTCTCGCCTCAGCCTCCCAAGTAGCCGGTACTACAGTTGCCTGCCACAATACCCAACTGTCAGTTAGACAGAATCTTGCTCTTGCTGAAGCTGGTCTCGAACTCCTAAGCTCAAGAAATCCACCCACCTCAGCCTCCCAAAGTGCTAAGATTATAGACATGAGCCACCACATCCAGCCATTTTTCACAGGAAGCAAGGCACTATTCTTCTGGCTCACGCAAAAGGGTCAACGTTTTTTAAAAAAAAATCTTTGTAGTCTCGCTTAATTGAAGAAACATCTTTAAAAATATCATTTGAGTGGCTGCAAGATAAAAAAATAAAACCAGCACATTAGAGGTACAAAGCTAAGTAAATGCAACAATGTAGATTTGGGGGTAGGCTGGTATAGAATTCAGAATTCAATGAAATTATCAGCTCCGTATTTCAGAAGCAAGATGGGGCCTAGCATCTTCCCTGTATTGTTTTGTTAATACACTGTCAATGTTACAATGTACTGATGCAGAGGTCCCCCCATCAATAGACCCTGATAGATCACCAAAGCTTAACTGCCATCCAGAGTCCCCTTCTTCATCATCCTCTATATTCTCTGAATAGGGGCACAGCTAAACCCTCCTCAAAGCATTAGCTGGCAATAGACTACATTGTCACAAAGCCTTGGAGAGAAACAGAGTGACTGGTATTTATTGAGGATCTAGGAGTGCTAGATACTCTCCTTGGTTAAACACCCCCCACCCCCAACAATCAAACAAGATCTTCGCCCTGCCTTATAAAGAAAACTGAGACATACAGTAGTTATACAATTTATCTAAGGTCAAGCCAAATGCTGGTAAGTAAAATTTTATCTTGGATAAAACTTGAGTCAAGTTGGACGAGATAAAGTCTTTTATAGTATCAAGCTGATCACAAAAAACTTCCATTTTTTATAGGAGCAGGAATGGCCCATTTATGCTGCTTCTCTCAATAGCCAGCAAAACACCTCAACTGCTATCATTACACCAGCTCCAGGAGTCCTGGTAGTGTTCAGATCTTCTCATTCATTTGCCTCCATCAATGGAGTTATTTATTCTCAACTGCTGGCAATGAACTTTCTTCACTCAGCATTTTGTGGGGGAAAAAAAAAACCTCTAAATACTTGAAGTGCTTCATTTTCATGCTCATTCTCTTGCCATGAATCTTTTTGGTTTTTCTTTAAAAATAGATTCCAAAATCATGACATATTCAGATATGAAAAAGAGGATGGAGAGCAAAGGGAACACTCATCTGAAATAGTCACAAGGTTGGTACCTGCGTCTGGAGTAATCCCAAATTACACAGAAATTTCTGGAATCTATGAAGCAATCACTCGTGTATTTGACTGAAAAAATAAATAAAATACTGCCCTAGGATTGGACTTGGATTCTTCCTCACTCTTCCACAATTGCCACCCTTATTAAGTCTCAATGATTCTGTTCCCTTGTTGTTTAAAATAAGAGATCTTTAATTTCTTAAAAAATCCATGTTTCTATTGTCAACTTCAACTCACTGGCCTTTCCAATGAGTAAACAATTAAAAATAATTCCAATCCTAGTACCATCACCCCGTTTTTTTCATTCCTTTGATAAAAGCAAAAGATTTACTTAACCAGTCTTTTACCTAAAATTACTTTCTAGTGTGGTAGAAAATCAAACAGCAAAGAAAAAAATACGATTGCCCAGCTAGACAAGAGTGATGTATAGTGTCTGGAAAATAGTGTACTTAATGAGAAAGCAGCTTAACAGTCTGCTTATTTTGGTTGCAGGTATCATAATTCATTATCCCCTAACGGGTAGAGAGAAAAATCAATCTTTTCTAGGAAAGACGGTAATACAGTAAAGCTTCTTTCCCTTGCTTAGCCTGATACCATATATTCACAAATGAAAATAATTCTGTGAGTGCTATTCCCCATATAGATGCCCACAGCACCTGCTTTCGAAATATTTTACCGGAGAAATTATGTAACAGACTATCCAGCTTGGTCCTTACTCTGTAACAAATAGACCTGGGTTTCCCAGCATCGTTTCCTTGACATCTGCTCCCCACATCTTGTCCTTTCATTTCCCCCTCCCCATCTTTATGTAAGTGTTCTGAAGTGCCAAGAAGAGAGTCTGAATCACACCCACCAAAGTTGAGCAACCCCTAGTCACTCAAAAATGCAGATGACTCGACTTTCTGGCTTTAATCTCCTTATAGATGAATCATTTCTCCAAAATGTCAGAACCATAAAGATTTCAGTGATAGTGTACAGTTCCTGCTTATTTCTTCAAAGACTCCTTGGACATGGTCAAGCCTGTAAGTAGATGGACTAGAGGGGATACTCTGGGGCAATGCTCCCCCTTAGCCACTCTACAAGATGATCAACGTGGGAGAGGGAGAATTAGTATGTAACTTTTCCCTCCCCACATACACATACCCATCTTTCTTTTTCAACTCGGGCACCATGCCCAGGGACCTTCTATGCAAAGGTCCCTGTCAGAAAACATCAGTCACAGTCAGTGTTAATTCTACCATTATAGCCTCATTTGTGTGAGGACAGCACAGTGCAGGCTTCTCATCTACAAAGTGCGCATGAATCACCAGGGGACTTTGCTGCAGTGCAGATTTAAGATTTAAAAGGTCTGGAGTAGAGCCCAAACTTCTGTACTTCTGAAAAACTTCAATATGACATTGATGTTGCTGGTTCACCAACTGCACCTGAGTACACTTGAGTAGCAAGGCCCTAGTGCCTCTGTCCATTCATAACGGGAGCTCATTTCACCTTACGGTCTCCTTATGGCTGGTTATCTATGGACAACATTAACAGGGCAGAAAACTCAGAATCTGTGTGATGGGAAAACTTTACCCTGTACACAGGAGTTTGCTGACTCTCACTGCCCAGATCAATGTGCCATACTTTTCCTATTTAGCTAAATGCAAATCCTGGCTCAGCCTCACCAGCCCTGTCTGATGCTGCTCTGCCAGCAACCAAACCTGCTAAAATACAGATTAGATTCCAGAGCCTTAACCAGAGATTCTCATCCATTAGGTCTAAGGTAGGCTCAAGTATAAAAGGACACCCTGAGTGATTTTAATACAATCTGAGAGTTTGGAAAAGGAAATGCATGCAATCTCTTTGTTAGAGTGGAAAAACCTAGGTATTTCATCAAGGAAGACAAAAAAGAAAAGTAAGAAAAAAGGACAGAAATTAAGCATCTGATAGTATGACAGAAAAAACAATTTCCTCCCCAATTTGGAGACGTGCTTCTGGGCATTTATGATTAATTCTAATGTGTTTTCCATCCTTCTCTTTAGAGAAGTTCAGTAAAAAGGTAGTGTGTTTTGTGTCTTCTATAGAAAATTATTTTAATGTAGGTAAGATTACAGATACATGGACTCAGTGATCAAATATCAAAGGAATGGTTATTTGTCCTTCAAAGTAAACAAATGAAAATGGAGTTGTTCATACACAATTTTTTTAAATACATCTAAGACACTGAATCAATTAACAAAAATAAGGACTGAACATTAATTAGTGCCACTGAAATGGCAGAGCAAATGTAAAATACAAAAAGTAACTTGACTTAGACTTTATGAATGTCATGTCCTCCCTAAGGAGGGCTACAGTTTGGCTACTTGGTGTCTGCTGGGGCAGCTGTGGCATCTTGAGAGGTGTCAGCCTCTGCTGGTTCAGTCACAGGTTCTGACACAGTCTCAGTAAACTCAGGTAGAGCAGGGATGGTGTCTGCATTGGAACCGGCTCCTGTCTGATTGGTGGTGGCCTCAGTATGACTGGGGGTGGTGTCAGACTGAAAGGCTGGGGTTTCCTGACTGGAGCTGGTGTCTGTTGGGCTGGGTATGACATCGGCTTGCGCAGCCATGGCTTCTTCTTCTGTTTCCAATTCCATTTCTTGATTTGGAACGTCCTCACTTTCTTCTACCATAGCAGGCGGTAGCTGTAATAAAGTCTAATAAAAAAAGGGAGATAACAACAACATGAACTCAAATGAGAAACACTGTGGTCTATAAAGCTCAGCTCTCCCATCAGCATCTTCATAACAGACACTCTTCACTCTACAGTGCTCCAAAACACTGTTGGGCATTTTACAGCTGTAACGTCTCTGATGACAACAGCACCACCTAGGTATCACATATTAATGATGAAAGTACACATTAACTCTTCAGAGAGGAAAACAAAATGATAAGGTATTTGACTTTTAAGCAAAAGAATCTGCTGCAAAACTTCCGTGAAAAGAAGTGGGTGATTAGAACTGACTACAATAGGCTGGGCACAGTGGCTAACGTCCATCCTCGTACACTGGGAGGGCAAGGCAGGTGGATAGCATGAGCTCGGAGTTTGAGCAAGGGTGAGACACTATCTCTACTAAAAATAGAAAAATCAGCCAAACCACATGGTGGGAGCCAACAGTCCCAACTACTGGGGAGGCTGAGGCAAGAGGATCATTTGAGCCCAAGAGTTTGAGGTTACTGTGAGCTGTAATGATGCCTTGGCATGCTACTCAGGGCAACAGAGTGAAATAGGAAAAAAAAAAAAGAACTGACTGCAATAGCAATTCAAGAAGGGCCAAATCATTCAAGGAGTCCTGGGAGAGGAAGAGAAGAATTAAGCCTAAGACAAGGCCACAGCAGGAACGGAGGCCCAGGGCACAGGCTGTGTCTCACTCAAACTGAAAACTGGAGCAACTCTGGATGCTCAACCTTCCCTTTATCCCATGGAATCTAGCGGCTTTTCCGCTCAGGGACTATATTTATTGGGCTGAAAACTGAAAAAATTTCAAGTACCATTCATAATAGCAGCCAAAAATATTAAATACTTAGCAAAAAAGCTAACAGAATATGTGTAAAATCTGTATGGTAAAAACTACAAAAAACTGGTGAGAGAACTCAATGAAAATCTAAGTAAACAGAGATATATTCACAAAAGGGAAGACAATATTGTTAAGATGTTAATCTTCCCCAACAGATCCTAAACAATCTTACTCTTCAAAACATCCTTTTAAAAGTTGCAGCATGCTAATAATATTCAGCCATTAAAAAAAATGGAGACTTTCTAGCCTTTGTATTAACACAGATGGAAATGGAACACATTATTCTTAGTAAAAGCATCACAGGAATGGAGAAGCATGAATCCTATGTACTCAATTCTGATATGAGGACAATTAATAACAATTAATGACATGGTGGGGGTAGGGGAAGGGGAGAGCAGAGAGAAAGAAGGAGGGAGGGGTAGGGAAGGGAATAGCAGAGAGAGGGAAGGAGGGAGGGGGTGGGGTCTTGGTGTGTGCCACACCTTTTGGGGGCAAGACACAATTGTAAGAGGGACTTTACCTAACAAATGCAATCAGTGAAACCTGGTTTCTTGTACCCTCAATGAATCCCCAACAATAAATTTAAAAAAAAAATTGCAGCATGCTTTTTGGTGTAGTAATTGGCCAGCTGATTCTGAAATGTTGATAGAACAGCAAAGGAACTAGAATAGCTAAAACAATTTTGAAAAAGAACAAAGCTAAAGGACTTACCTTATCTGATTTCAAGCTTCCTATAAAGCTACTGTACTCAAGGAGGTGTGGTAATGGCAAAAAGACAGATACACAGAACAATGGAACAGAAGAGAGAGCCCAAAACAGACTCACTTAGGGGTCAACTGATGTCACTGACTACAGTGACAAGCAATTCAACAGACAAAGCAGTTGAGGAAATGGTGCTGAAACAATTGGCTATGAACACAAAAGTAAATAAAACTCAACTCTATCTTGTACCAAAAAACTAACTCAAAATGTATCATACTTCTAAATATCAAAGCTAAATTTACACTAAACTCCCTGGTATCCGGAACTTAAGCAACTGGTACTCCCAAGCAACCGCCAAGCTATCCAGCCAAAAAATAAATCAAGAGTTTAAACTTGGTGTGCTGTGCTGTCAGCAAAGTGATGCTTAAGGCATCACTCCTGCAGCTCCCCTGTGATCTCTGTAAATTTTAAGTATTAATGTGTGTTCCCTGAAGTTAAAAAAATATGATCGCAAAGTTGAAAAGTGTACTGACTGCCATTTAAATACAACTGTACTATACACTGCATTGACAAAGCTGTTTGATAATATAGTAAAACTGCATTGCAGTAAATGAAGTTTGACTTTATGTGTCTTCATTTACTTTTAATTAGTGTATTTCAAATTACTATAAAGTCAATACAGAGTTTATGGTACAGAATGATATAGAATGGGTTACAGAATTAGTTAGGCTTATTTTTAATAGTAACTGTCAAGCAACCAAAAACTACATTTACCTATAATTCACCAATCCTCAAGGTGCCAGAAAATGGGGGGATTATTGTAAATAACTTACAGAAAAAAATCTTTGTAACTCTTAAGTATTTTTAGGACACAAAATTCATGAATCACAAAATAACAATTTGATGCACTGAACTTCATCAAAACATAAAACTTCTGCTCTTTGTATGCTTGAAAATGCAAGGGGAAAGTCAGAGACTAAAAGAAAATACAGTAGAACTTCTATAGTTGACTACCTCCCTACACTGATCACCTCCTTGAGTTGACCTACTTTTCACAGACCAGACATGCACCACATATTCGTAACAGTACAGCAGGCCTAGTTCCTTATGTTGACCACCTCTGAATGGGGACCAGTTTGTAATAGTGCCTTAGGTGGCCAACTTACAGAAGTTCTACTCTATTTGGAAACACACACCGGCTAAAGGACTTATAGTGAAAATAAATAAAAACCTCTTAAAACTCATTAAAAACAAACTCAACAAAAAAATGAACAAGAGACCTGAGCAGACACATCCCCCCAAAAGATAAGCTGCTGGCAAATAACCACATGAAAAGGTGTTCAACATCATTAGTCATTAGGGAAATAAAAATTAAAATCCACACTGAAGCCTCCTGTTAGAATGGCCCAAAAAAAAAAAAAAAAAAAAGATGTACTATATCAAGTGTGGGTGAGGACATGGAGCAACTAGAATTCTCATACTGCTGGTGAGAGTGGAAAGTGGTACATTCACTTTGAAAGACAAGTATTTTCTTAAAAAGTTAAATACATCCTTAACTTTTTATCCTGCTTTTCCACTCCTAGGTATTTACCCAAGAGAAAGTGTACACACTTGTGTGCGAATGCACACAGTGGCTTTATTTGTAACAGCCAAAACTGGAAACAACCCAATGTCCATCAATATGTGAATGAGTGAATTATGGTAGATCCATGCAATGGAGTACTACTCAGAAAGAAAAAGAAAGGACACAACCACATGAATGAATCTCAAAATAATTATTCTGAATAATAGTCTGAGGGAAAAAAAACCTAGCATATTGTACGATGCCATTTACAGACATTTCTAGAAAACGGAGACCAATGTACAGTGACAGAAAGCAGATCCCCAGTTGCTTGGGAAAGGGGAAAGGAGAAATGGGAACTACTAAAAGACAAGGAGGGGTTACCAACAGGAACAAGAAAAACAAACCTCTACAAGGAATGAGGTACTTTAAAAATTTATTCTGTGAAAGAGAAGATTATTTCAATAGCAAGAAAAATAAGAGCCAATTTTAAGAAAACTCACCTGATGATAATGATGTGTAGTCTGTATCAAATGCATATACATGTTGTATACAAAGTTTGCCATCTGGGGCATATTCTTTATTATCTGCACTTCATGAGAGGTTCTTTCTCCATTCTAAAGCAAAGAAAAAAGAAAGTTAAGTATCTAATGAAAAGATTCTAGAAGCTAACATTTCAACATAAGCCCATTAGATGCAAGTGTAACAGTCCAATGAGCTCTTCATGAAGGGTAGCAAGTGTGTTTAAACTAGGAAAAGCTAGAGATTTGAACAGCTAAGAGTCATGAGTTTTTAATACAATTTTGAGCTAATAAGTAAAACAGGAGTTTTAGTCTATTAACTAAGAAGAATTCATAAGAGATAAGTAATTATTTATATAGAAAACTAAACATCATTCAAAGTAGTTTTCAATAACGTGTATGCTCCAAAAAAGATCTCAAGATTATTCAGAAAGAAATTATTAAAACTATTCTTCTTATTTATGTATTTCTAAAGAATAATAGGTAACATTTACTATTATTTAATATATACAATACTAGTTATGGGGGTGAATAATTCAAACATTCTTTTTAAATTGTGGTATCTATCAGAATCATCTAAAGAAAACTATTAAATTGCAAATGGCTGGGCTCCAGACCCTAAGAATTCAGACTCAGTAGGTCTGGGATAGAATAAGGTGACTCTAGAATAGTTTCTAACAGCCTGGGAAACACTGCTGTACTGGTGCAGGTAAAGTAGAAAAGCAAATGAATATACTGTTTGTACTTCTTCCTAAACTATCTTAGAATAGAGGTTAACAATTTTCCTATTTATAGTCATTAATAAAATGTTAAGAAAGTTCTACCCTTTCTAAATGTAGGAAAAAATTAGAAAACCATAAAGGGAAAAAACATATACCAAGAAAAATGATTCTACCTTAAAGTGACAAGTTACATAAGTGACAAGCACATGAAGTTGGAAATATTTACTGTGAGGTCAGGCAATGATGTTCCAGAACTCATCCTAGAAAAAGTGCTACACACCTTATTCCTGAGTATCACCATAGTCACCTTCAAAGTGACTTGGCCATCTGGTGACCACAATGATATTGAGCAGTGAAGTACGAAAAAGTCTGTTTGCTTATTTCGTAGTGGCCATTCTTGAGATGTAGCCATTCTTGCCCCTCACAGTGTTTCTTGAGCAGAGGTATGGGAGATGCTCTCAACTTGTATGAATGTCATAGAAAGCACCATTTTCTAGCCTCCTGTTTAGCAGTATTGCCTGATCCAGGTTTCTCCAGGGGTATCCCTGCAGCCATTACATAGGAAGCACCTGAGGAGCTTATTGCCCAAGGAGACAAGGCTCTATCCCAGACCTCTTTTTTTTTTTTTTTTTTTTT